ACCTTAGATTTCATACGCGGTGCTTCAAGATACTCACCCTTTACTGTTCCTTTATCTGCAAGACAATTAGTGACGGCCAAGACGGACGGCTGCTCGGCTGCTCCCTCAAAAGTTTTGGCGATCATCGGCCCCACTGCCGTGGGGTGGGACCTAGGTAGACCGACGCTCTCCCGGCTTATTTCGGCCCTTCCACTCTGTTCACCACCGCTGATCCAAGGGAGATACTTACCTCCATTCTTGCAGGGGAAGAATTCAGAGCTCATGGAGTGAAGCTGCAGGGCTTACACAGCCATGCGGCGCTCTGTCTAGCTAGTTCTGATGCCCGGTGCTGCAGGCGAGCTGCATTTCGAACGAGCACGCCGAAAAGCTTCACCGTGAGACAGCACAGCCTCAACGAAGAAGCCGTTTGGCGGAGTTTTCCATGCTATCTCTGTTCCACGGGCAGAGTATTTGGCAGCAATTACCAAGTGCTCGGACGACCAAAAGTTGAGATGGATGGGAATTTCCGCCTCAAAATTCCACAGGTTTCAATGCGTTCCTGGTGAAAGTGCCATCTGGGCAAGCCGCGCACTGACAAGTAATGTTTGCAGTGTGCCCATCACAGACATCGGAACCATGTTCCAGCTTCGTGCATCGTACATCGTGCATTCATACCGATTATTGGGAAGGCGGTGCATCGCGGTGTTGTGCCTCTTCCTCAATTCTTTGAATGACAGCGTGGTCATCTGCAGTCGGCGACAAAGAGCAAGATCATCGGGCGCCAGTGGCTACAGAGACTTGGCGTCTGCAGCGCGCCTTGAGTAACACCGTTTGCAGTACAGAGTTCAGAGAGGCATGACGCCCATGGACGCAGACGATGACAACTGATGCGCCCGTCTACACATGGCCAGATATGGCTTCTGCAGAGAACAAGTCTGGATTTGGCGCATGTACCTACAAATGCTGTGGACATACTCCGTCGGAAGGGTGTTGAAGTTGAAAACAACGACATGAGAAACGGGAGCAAAGAGCAGGCAGCAAAGGGAACAAAACGTCTTGCTTCAGTTGAGACTCGGGCGAAACAGTCTGCAGGGCCACTCGAGTGCCAAGATGCGGCCCGGCCGGGGGCGAGTGCAGCGCGGGTGGCTCTGATGCAAAGACGGTCGAAGAACCATCTCATTATTTGATTGTTCTTGTTCTGGCCGGCAGCCGTTCTTTTTTATAACCGAAACTTCAGCAAACTTCATCGAAGCAAGGGGAGCGGCGGCCATTGCCTTTGTTATCGACGGGTCTGGATTGGTTCTCCTAGTGACACTTTTCTCTCATGTCAAAGGTCTCAGCCTCGAGGTTCCCTGTATTTGGGTCTGTAAGCGGACATCCGTACCTTAATCGAAGTGACAAACTGCGTCCGGCGACATTTGGAGACGTTCCCAAGGTTCCTTAAGACGACCGGTCCCTGCCGCCGTGGTTATTAGCGCTCGTCTTCCCGCCCCTTCCCCTCCATTTACCCAGTTCCCGCCCTCCCTTTTCCCCAGTCCAGTCCCGTCCATTCCCGTCCAGACTCCAGGCTTCCAGCCCACCGCTGCACCGCATCCCCTCTCGAGTCGCTCTTTCCCGACGCTGTGGAATTGGGATCAGCCCTTGCCTTCCCATCCAATTGGACTGCACCTTCCTCCAAACCGACCTGCATTGGATGCACCTGCCTCCACGGCTTTTGTCGGCCCACAACCGGTACAAAGTACATCGAGAAAAAAAGGAAGGAAGGAGAGGAAAAAAAAAAAAAAGAGGGAAACCACTTCCCCGGTCGTTCCACTCCTCCCGGATTCGCCAATCGACCACGAAAATTTCGGCAATTTCCAATCTTTTCTGCCCCATTTCACGAACCCCTCCATGCCCCTCTCTCCTCCACAAACTGCCCGCCGACATCGACGACGATCTCCGAGAGCAATTGAGAAACAGGGACATGCTCGACACACTCAAGATGAGCGAGACCCAATTGACCTTTGGTCGGACCGACGACTACATCTTCATCTCCAAGCCCAAGAAGGGCATCGCTTATGTTGAGGCCCGTTTCAAGGATGGCAAAGGTGTACGTTCTGCCCCGCAATGCTCATTTTCACGAGCTTTTCCCCCCAAATTCTGTCGGACAATTGCTTACAATGAGAACAGCTTGCGCACACAGACAAGGGATGCCAACTGGTATGTTCAGTTCTTTGATATGAACCTCATTGATCTCATTGTCCGTCATCTAACGTGCCTCAGCTTCTCTCCAAGCTTGAAAGAGAATGGAGCGCACCCAAACTCAAGGATGACACTGTCATCTCACTTGAGGCTGACCTCTTGAAGGAGCCAGTTTGTAAGTTTCTTCATTCTCTTTTGGGATCGCACTGCTTACCATCAGCATAGTCCACAAGGAGATTCCAAGCGACATGTTCCACTCTCTTCGTGTGGTTGAGTTCCAAGGCCTGGATCCATCTACTCGTGTCGTCTCTATCCGCGACGTTGCCATCAAAGTCAACCTCTACGGATGCACTCCCGAGTCACCCTCCGAGTCGGATGATGAGTTGGTGGACATTCTTCCAAGCGCCACTAAAGTCGATGGCATCTGGGAGCTGTAAGAATACCTCTCTCAACTTTAACGTACATATTGCTGACCTTCCGACTCTCTAGATGCTGAATCTGATCACTTACTATCTTGGTCACTGATTAAGTTACTTCATCTGAAATCAGCGAAGGAGACGCAAATACTGTGGCCGTTTCCTATGAACTGGGACCTGGCACTTTAGTTGATCTCCCTCCGCGACGTCGCGCAACGTCGTGCTGCTCACTGGGTGACCTCCGAGGTCCCGAAGAGCGCTCGGCCGAGATCGCCGAATACCCCATCATCAGCTACCACTGTCGGTGATGTTGAGAGCATCGGCTGACATCGCGAACCCGATGACGTCGAGTCACGAGTGTGCATGACCTAGTTGTGTGAATCATGAACGCTCAGTCTAGCAGCCTCGACCATCCAAGGGTGCGACGTACTGTCTCGGTCAATACCACATACAGCATGATCGACATGCTCGACCGCAATCTCTGGCATTGGCTCTACATCATATCGACGGCATCACGACGGCATGCATCGGAGCATTGCGATGAAACTCCAATGCATGAAGCTGCAAAGGCCGACGGAAGATGAGATTCGGCAATAGGCTTTCCATCAGCTCTGATGCCATACTGCTCCCGCTGATGATGTCGTTGTCGAAATAGACATCATCGATGACTTGGATTTACACCAGCCTTGTCACGACTGTTGCTGCCAACATCAAGAGAGATGGGTGCTCCGAGCGAGACCGACGGCGAGGTCCATCAGCTTGGGTGCAGAATAAAATATACCGTCATCAACGACAGTGTATATTTGCTGACCAAGATCTAAGACCTCTTGGGCATGACGAGAAATGTAGAAGATCGATTAGACTTCCTACGGCCTTTCGACATTTAATGGGCATATGGTAAACTCAGGAAGTGATGGCTGTGATCGATAGCAGTAGATGAATAAAAGGAGGAATTTCCGATCCAGGAACCTCAATACTCGCCTTGCCATCTTCCAACTAACAAACCCCGCATTGTGATCAATCTTCCTCGAGCAGTCCCTTGGGGGCGAAAGCTTTAGACTCAGGGTCTGTCTCGTCGCATTCATCCAGGGTTACTGCCCAGCCGAGACTTTTGTCTCGGTCAAACATCCAAAATGCAGTGTCCAGAAATGCCCTACCGTGCTAGCGACTTCAGCCGCCGCGTGCCGTCCCTCACCAGTACATGATCAATCACCATATTGGTTTGCTTGCATGAGGGGTCCAGACCACTCATGGCCTGAGCTTCACCGAGCGACTCGAATGAGGTGCTTCTTACTTGTCGTTCGGTGGCTTGCGTATGTCAGTCGGTAAAGTTCTTAGCGAGTCCCCCCGCACTTGATCTAGACGCCAAGCTGAAAGCTCTAGGAACTCTGGCTTCTATTTTGTCTTGGAAATTGGCCCGAAAGCGGCATCGATCAATAACGGGCGGGAATGGGCGGGCTGCAGCTATCGTCGACACATGCCTACCGTCAAGAGATCGTCAAACAGCAAATTACGATATGTCCTCAGCTCTTCGTGAAAGCCCTCCTGAAAATTCGATTCACGCACATGCCATCGGAAATGCCTGATTAGCCACCAGGATCGGGATCATTTTCTGTAGTGAGATTTTGCATCAATGACTTTTGTAAGTTTCGAAGCAGTCATGTGCATTCGGGAAGCTCATGCAGTACCGTAGAGACTGTCAAAGAACATTAGGAGATCTCGAGAGCTTCTCGTGAAGCTCTCGAGATCTGCGGTATTGGGCCAATCGCAGTGTCCCTTCGAGCTCCCGAATGTCTCATTCGCAACAGACTTGCCCATTCCCAGCGTTTACAGGGCACAGCTATCAGCCGGCGCTAGGCAAGCCTCAAAATAACATCCAGAAGCGGGATACTCCATCCGAGATTCGAATGCGCTTCTCTCAATGTCCATGGAGATGGGCCAGATCCCTGATTGCAACATCTCGGTTTCTGCCCAACAGAACATCAGGAATTGACTCCTCATCAGCTCTGTCTCGCTCGCTTCAGCTTTCAGGTAGCCACGGGGACCTCGTTCAGCTGGAAGCCATCGAACGAAAGCGTGCATAGGAGCGCTTGCAACAACAAACTCCAAGGAGAGGGAATCCGACGGCGAAAAGCCATCTCGCGTCGTGTTTTGGGCTTTGGAAAACTCGCATAAATTGCAAGAAGAAGGACATCACACAAGGTCTTTTTCCATCACATCACAAACTATAAGATGTTCAGTCTCATCCTACGAATCCTCTCACTTCCTCTCATCCCATTCAGAAGATATCTACCTCCCTCTCCACCATCCCCACTGCCCCAACCCAAGAAACCGCTTCCTCCGAAGGACAGCAACAATTCCCCTTCCGCTTCTTCTTCTTCCTCTTCTAGTTCTACTACTGCCCCGCTGGTCAAATCCACCGCCATGTACGTCTACCTCGGTAAGCTCGACTGGAAGCCATATGGCCTGGACGAGACCTTTGTCATCACCTTGCCCAACGGTCCCGCCCGCGCCGGTGACCCTGCCTACCTCTTCTCGCAGTGGACCAAGGACGCCCGCGGCGCGCAGAAGGCCAACTGGTTCCTCAACCTCGTCGTCGACAAGGTCTCCAAGACGGCCAGCGGCGATGATGTCTTCACGCTCAAGAACTCGCACTACTACTCCTGGGAGATCACTACCCAGAAGGTCTACGGCGAGCTCAAGGTCACCATGTCGAACCCCAACAAGGACAAGAGCACCATGACTTTCAACCGTATCTGGAAATCTGAGTCTCAGACCCCCGCCGGCTCCCTGCGCATCTGGACTGGCAAGATCAACTGGCCCAACTATGCTACCAACGAGATGGCCACCTTCATCGTCCCCGAGGGCTTCGGCAAGGATAAGCCCGTTTTGGCCGTCTGGCAGTGGACCAAGAATGGCGAAGGAAAGCCGAAGAACCCCAACGTCCACGTCGCCAAGCAAACTATCCTTTCTAGCCCCGAGAAGACTGTCAAGTTTGAGTACAACTCCTTCTATCATGTGACTTGCAATTGGCAGCAGAGTACCGAGAGACTTGCTGTCCACATGAAGGGAAGTGGAATCGAGAGCAATGTTAGCCAAGAGATTGGTGATTTCGCTCTTGCTGTTCACCTGGACCGTCACTCTCAGTTAGTATACTCTTTTCCCTTGATGTGGATATAGCTGACCATCCAAAACAGCGACTTCAGCCCCCCTGAGTCCACTCCTAACAAGGCTGAGGTCGAGCTCCGACTTCCTCAGGCCCAAGCTTCTTTGTCTCGCATCCAGGCGCCGATGCCTTTCCCCAAAGGACTGGTTGACACCCTGACTCACGCCCAGGCTTTCATCGACCAAGCTGGCTACCTTGCTAAGTATGCTGAGCAGGTATGTTCCCTATAAGTCAATTCAATTCATCTCCGTACATAATATACTGATAGCGACTAGCGCTTCGCTGCCCTGGATACCGACCTCCACGCCCGCGATCACCAACTCACCGCCGCTGAGACTCAGATCCGTGAGCTCCTGAAGAACAGAGATCTCCTGCTTCAGAGAGAAAGGGAACAGCAAGACGAGGCTGCTCTCCTCAAGAAACTGCTCCAAAGGGAGAAGGCGACAGTCCACGACCTCGAGATCGAGATTGCTCAGCTTCGGAAGAAGATTGGCGACGGGGACAAGCATGACGAGGATGACCACCGAGTCATAGCGGAGCTGCGGGATGCGAGAATCCAACTCAAGAGACAATTGAACGAGGCCGAGGCCTCCCACGACAAGGCGAAGGCTCGCATTCAAGGGCTTACCGAGCAGATCCAAAAGTTGGAGTCCAAGATTTTCCTTCTCCAGTCCGAACTCGATGTCCTTCGCAAGCGTAACGAAAGTCTCATCAAGGAGAATGCAGCACTTACCGATGCGAAGCGTAAGCTTCAAGCGGATAACGAGTCACTGCAGGACGATGTCGAGAGTGCGAGACTCACGGATGAGAAAGCACAAGCCAACATTACCAGATTGACGGAAGAGCTTCGCAATGAAGCGGATGAGAAGCGAAAGGCCTCGGACAGGGCTCTTGAGAAGGGCAGAGAGCTCTTGAAGGCGCAAGAGGAAACCAGCCGCATTGAGGGGCTGCGTTCCACAGATCGCAAGGAGCTTCTCGAAACCAAGCTGTTGAGTGACCAGTACTGGGACATCTTGAAGAGACAGAAGCTCCTTCACCTGATCAAGAAGACGGAGGCACAACCTCAGGTTGCCCAGAAGTAGTGGTGTTCAGGAATAGTCAGATTGTCAAAGAATGGTTTTCCTTAGCTTCGACCTAATAATCAATTTCTCATTTGTCAGCAAATCTGGTCTCCTATAGGAGCCTACTTGAAGACGCGTAGTGACGGTCAAGACGCGATGTTCCAGAAGATATGGTTTCGCATGACACTCCCTTATTTTAGGGTATATTCCTATTGACTTTAATATGGCCTTCCCAATCAGGCTACCTGACACCGCCGTGAAAGACCAGGAAAGCCGGTGATTGTGAGTTGAGGGCAAATCGAGATATCTACGTGTGCTGGATTGCTGCCTTTTGTAGTCATATGAGGAAAAATGTAGACGCCAGTGATGTTGACATCGCTCCCTTAAGCAGACCAAATTCAACCCGAGTATTCTCCGGAAGATTGCAACCAGTGGCACAAAGCGCTGCACAACATTCCATACACGACTCTGTGGACAAGCTCTGTCGTATCATGACATTCAGATCAGCCCATACCGATTCCATCGTAAACAAGACCAAAGGAGAAACCCAATGCCGACGGGATTGCTAAGACTAATTCCCTCCTCATAAAAACTTGAGTTGTTCTAATGGCCAAGCCATGACGATCTCGTCAAAAGATGAACTACTACCTAGTAAGACCACGTGAGCTAGCAGATAAGAAATCTGCTATAGAACAATCTCATACGACCAGAACCATTGAGGACCAGTCAATGCAGAGTTTCGAGTCATTGTCGAGGCTGTGGATAAGACCGGGATACGAGGCTTGTCATAGCTGCAGAGCAATACATGGGGGAAAGTTTGAGTTGGAATTAGACTACGAAACCAACATATTCCAGCACAGCACCGCCATCTAATCCCAACCACCCAAAACCCTTCGACATAACATCATTATGTGCTTGTATGTATAACGCTCAAATCTCCTTGACAAATCCTACCTCCACAACCCTATCCATCGCCAATCTCAGATTCGCAATCTTGGCCCGGGTATTATCCCGAATCCACAAGAACGTACCCAAGGTGAAGCGCCGGAGAATGCTCGTCCCCGTCCGAATGTGCATCTGCCCCTTACCTACAATGTACAACACCTTGTGCGAGTAAGCGCGATCTAGCTTCGCCAGCTCCGCCGCGACTTTCTCGTCCCGAAGCTCCACGGGGCCCTCAGTATCCTCCCACGAGGCATCCGTCGTCGTCTCTCCGCATGCAGTAGCCGCCTTGCTCGCCGCCTGCTGCACGACAAACTTGCGCACCTGCTCGTAGATCAACGCGCCCAGATCGGGACTGACGACCTCGTCCATGAAGCCGTGACGAACAACGAGGCGGTAGCACCCTGCCAGATTTGCGAACCGCGAGATGTGGTAGCGCTCCGAATCGGGAACAGTAGGAACCTCGACGGGGTGAAGATGGAAAAACACCGCCACGTCGGGGAGCGCGCCGAGCTTGGAGGCAAAGTGCGTGAAAACGCTGGGCGTCTGCACGCCCGTCTTGTCGAAGAAGATACCGAAGCCGCTGACGGGAGAGAGAACATCGCCGCCCCAGCGCTGGGTGAGCGCCAGCATGCCCTCCTTGTTCTTGGTGACGAGGGTGCTGGGCTGGAAGCGGTCCTCGGCCTCGGCGCGCCACTGGTTTTCCTTACCGAAGCGCCAGAGGAGGAACATGCCGGCCATGAGGGCGGAGATGAGAAGCGTGAACCACGCGCCGTCGGGGACCTTGTTGAGTGCCGAAGAAAGGTAGAGGCCGTCGAGGGTGGCGAACATCAGGGCTGGCAGGGCAATGAGCCAGACGGGAAGGCGCCAGACGAGGATGGCGACGAGGGTGACCATGAGGGTGTCGAAGAAGGTGACGAAGATGACGCAGACGCCGTAGGCGTGACCCAAGCTGGTGGTATTGTTGTAGACTGCCGTGACGAGGATGGTGCCGAGCATGAGGAGCCAGTTAAGGAGGGGCACGTAGACCTGGCCGTGGAAGGTGGAGGAGGTGTGGACGACCTTCATCTGGGGACAATAGGAGAGTTTCATGATCTGGCTGGAGAGCTGGAAGGTTGCCGTGATGATGGCTTGCGAGGCGACGATGGCGGCGAGCACGGCGAGGATCAAGCTGGGGTAGAGCATGCCGGGGGGCACGGTGTTGAAGAAGGGGTTGGTGTACTTCTCCGGCATGAGGGCGAGATGGGCGGCCTGTCCGCTGTAGGCGAGGATCAGGCAGGGGTACGTCCAGAGCAGCCAGCTCATCTGGACGGCGCGCATGCTAAAGGCACCGAGATCGGCGAAGAGGGCTTCGACACCGGTGAAGCAGAGGAGAACGCCGCCGAGCATCCTCCAGCCCTCCGTCTTCTTCTCCATGAAGAAATGGATCGCGTAGTAGGGGCTGAATGCCTTGAGAACGGTGTAGTCGTACTTTACGAGGTTGTAGATGCCAAAGGCGCCGTTGAAGCCCAGCCAGATGATGACGATGGGCGCAAAGGTGGTGGCGAGCTTGGTGGTACCGAGGGGTTGGATCAGGAAGAGCAGGACGAGGATGCCGCAAGTTGTGCCGACGATGGTGGAGGTGCTGATGTCGGGCTTGACGACGGAGAGACCCTGGATGGCACCCAGGACAGACTGCGCGGGGGTGAGGATACCGTCGGCGATGACCATGGAGACGGCGAGAACGCCGATGGTCTTGAGGAAGCCTCGTGTGAATTTGGACTTTTCAATGGCGGAGCGGATGCCGCGCGTGACGGGGCGGACGTCTTGGGTGTTGTGGCGTTCGATGCGTACTGTTGCTTCTTCGCGGGGATCGAAGTTTGTGATGTTGGCCTTGGTGGTGTCAGAGCACGTACGCGTAGAAAGGGGGAAGCATCAGTGTTTGAGGCTGATTCGACTTACAAATCGGGTCAAGAGGGAGTAGCACGAAAAGGTGCCACCCTCGCCCTCGTTATCGGCGTGTAAGACGATGAGGACATATTTGGCCGTGACCATGAGAGTGAGGGACCAGATGATGAGAGAGAGAACCTGGGTGAGGTCGTTCTTGGTGGGAAGATCAGTGAAGGTGGACGAGTATACGTAGAGAGGACTAAGCGATTGTCAGCAAAACAAGAAACCTCCGTACGCGCTTCTTGATCCAAACTTACCTGGTTCCAATATCGCCGTAGATGACACCAATAGACTGGTACGCAAGCCTTTCAAGCCCGTCAGCACATAAACCCCCTCAAACCCTTAGAGGGAGCGCATCACGACCAATCAACATACCACATCAACGTCGTGCCAGTGAAAACCTGCTTCTTCCTCCCGTCATCGCGACGCCAATCGTCACCACCATCATCAGCCTCAGCATTCGATTCCCTGGTAATGGCGCGCGAGAGGCGGTTCGAAGCGACACGGTTCAGGTCGCGGCTCGAGTAGATACCGCCGGCGATGCCAGAGCTGGAACCTCCATCAGGACCTGGGCGCGGGAACGTAGACCACTCGTCGACGGTCGAACCGGACTTGTGCTTCTCGAGCTTGTCTTCGATTGTGATTCTAGGAGCGCTCGGGGTTGTTGGGGTGCCTTGGGCGTCCATGCCAGGCTGGAATTCCATTTCAGGGGGTGGAAAGGTTGAGAAATGGGAAAGGGGAGGAAAAGAGAATGCGCCGGCGTAAAGCACAGCGAGTGAGAGATGAGACCTAACAAAATAGCAGTATTCTGAGGGCAGAGAATATCTAGCAAAGTCGTAAAAAGGGGACTTCACAAGAACCAATACACGATAAGATCTTTCGGTTGAAGATTGAAAGGGCGGGATGCGACTTCTTTAAGTCCCGGGAATTTGGAATGACAGGGTCTTGATGTTTCTGGGTTGCCCTACCCTAATCTCAGGATTAAATCTTTGTCTCAAACGACAAAAGACAAAGACGGCAAAGTTGGATGGAGGAAGGGGAGAGAGTGGGGGTGCCATGAGGGATCTTGGTTCATCTTGCCCATCTCGGGGACCCTCGAAGAGAGTTACAGAGAGGCAGGCCAGCATGGCGGTCAAGGCTAGCCCGGCTAGTGTAACGGGAATTTCGATGCATCCTTGATGAAGCGGCCCTAGTACCGACGCGGCCTCTACTTTTTGTCAATTAGCCCCGGAGAGCAAAAGCCACCGGGCCCATATTAGCATCGAGGAACGACTGGGCGGTCGACAACGACGGCCATCCCCGGGGGTGGCATTCCAGGAATCCAGCCCACTTGTCCCCCTTCCCGCCTTCTTGACGTTACCCACCTCGGGGCCTACTTGTGAGATCCCATGTGGCATGTGGCGTGCAGGTTTCCCATCTGCACACATGCACGGGCTTATCTGTGAACAGACGGGGATGCCCCTCCCCCTTCGAATGCTTATGAGAAAGAGTTTGATGACAGAAACAAGACTGTCACAAGCTTTCTTCGATAATGGGGGTTGGCCCTTCGGAAGCGGAGCGGCTATGACTAGGTGCTCTTCCTTCGGCTCTGGGGTTGGATGGGCTCGTGTAGTGTACTTCAGGCGAAGTGCGGCAAGGTGTGCCGGGTGGGAGGAAGGCCGGATGATGCAGGTGAGGGAACGAGCGCCCGCTGCTATGTATGTGCCGGCATGCTGAAAGTAGGCTGTATCCATCAAGTGGTGATGATGAATGTTTTTTCTGCGAGACTGCTTGGGAGTAGGTAGACTGAGTGGAGGGGCCGGTTGGCAGGGGTAGCTTGCGTAAAGGTAGGGGTAGAGGCGGCTCTCCTCCAGTCAGAGATGGTGGGAGAGCACGCAGTACCTAGAGTCTTTGACTCTTTTGAGACTAAGAATGCGGTGTTCGCGGGACCCGTAACCATAGTTGAGTTGGTGGTGTCAATCTGCACACTGCCACTGAGGCAGCTCCGGCGGCTTTGGGCAGCCAACGGATGAGGCTCGAAACTTTTGGCTTTCCATGGCAGAAAACGGGCCACACTCGCAAGAATGATGACGGCGTCTCTGTCCCTCTCTCGCGCGAAGCTTGTTGAAGGTGGGATGCCGCTGGCCATGTTGTCTCTTGCTAAGAGTCTC